TTGAGGAAGATGAACCTCAGAAGAAAGAGAAAGGTAAATCTGTTGCTTTAAAATCTAATAAATCTGCTAAAGCTTTGCAGGTTATTGAAGAAAGCTCTGAAGGATCTTCTTCTGAAGAAGAAGATGAATTATCCATGTTGTCTAGAAGGATCAACAGACTCTGGAAGCACAAGGGAAAGAAGTTCAACAACTTCAGAAAATCTGATCATAGAAAGGAATCTTCTGGGCACAGAAGATCTGACAAGAAAGAAGTTGTGTGCTATGAGTGCAAAGAACCTGGGCATTACAAGAATGATTGCCCCAAACTTCAAAGAGAAAAACCCAAGAAGAAGTTTAACAAAAAGAAGAAGGTTCTGATGGCAACATGGGATGACTCAGATGAATCTGAACATCTTCTGAATCAGAAGAAGAATGTGCGAATGTTGCACTGATGGCCAACACAGAAGATCAGGAGGAAGGAACTTCAGGATATGAATCAGATTCTGAATCTGACGATGACGCTGAAGAGGTAATGGCTAAACTTACTAAAGAAGAACTTATAAAAGTATTATCAGAAGTTCTGAAAAGCTATAACAATATCAAAATCAAATACAAGAAGCTGAAAAGCAGTCTTGAATCTGAGATTGATCTTTTGAAGACAGAACTTGTTGAGCAAAAAGAAATTAATCTGAAAATCAAAAATGACTTTGAAATAACTCAACAAGAATCTGAATCTGAGACTAAGTCATGTGAAAACATTTTAGAAAAATATGACTCTAGCTTTCAGAGATTCCTTACTAAGACATAGACAGAAGCAAGATGGCTTCTATGATCTATGGTGTTAGTGGGAACAACAGAAGAGGTATTGGATTTGAATCTTCCTCTGGAAGTAATCCAAAATCTGTTGACAAACTCTTCATCAAGAAGACACCTCTGTACTCTCAATTTAAGTTTGGTCACTTAAATGACATTAAACACACAAGCTCTGAGAAGAATACTTATGTGTTTAAACCCAAGGCAAGTCAGAATAAACATTATGTTGAAAAACAGAAGTTTAGACAAACCTTCAGAACCACTAACCCTAAAGGACCCAAGAAGATCTGGGTACCTAAAAGTAAAATAATTCCTGTTGCAGATGTTCTTAGCAACAAGGTCAGGACGCCAATCATGGTACTTGGACTCTGGATGCTCACGACACATGACAGGAGAAAGTCTATGTTCCAAAGCCTGGAACTTAGATCTGGAGGTGACGTGAAGTTTGGAGGGAACCAGAAAGGCAAGATCATTGGATCTGGCACTATTGGAAATGGTAAACTTCCCTCTATAACTAATGTTTTACTTGTTGAAGGGTTAAAGCATAACTTATTGTCCATAAGTCAATTAAGTGACAATGGTTATGATATCACCTTTAATCAAAAATGTTGTAAAGCTATTAGTCAAAAAGATGGCTCTATCCTATTTAGTGGTAAGAGGAAAAACAACATTTATAAAATAAATCTTTCAGAACTTAAAGTTCAGAATGTTAAATGCCTCTTGTCTGTTAATGAAAAGCAATGGGTCTGGCACAGAAGATTGGGCCATATTAATATGAGACGTATATCTCAGATTAATAAACTTAATCTTGTCAGAGGACTTCCTAATCTGAAGTTCACCTCAGATGCTCTTTGTGAAGCATGCCAAAAGGGAAGTTTTCAAAATCATCTTTTAAATCAAAAAATGTTGTTTCTACTTCCAGACCACTAGAATTACTTCATATTGATCTGTTTGGACAAGTGAAAACTGCATCCATCAGAGGCAAGAAGTATGGATTAGTCATTGTTGATGACTATAGTAGATGGACATGGGTAAAGTTCTTAAAACACAAGGATGAGTCACATTCTGTGTTCTTTGACTTCTGCAAGCAAGTCCAGAATGAAAAGGATTTTAAAATTATAAAAGTCAGAAGTGATCATGGTGGTGAATTTGAAAATAAATATTTTGAAAAATATTTTTCTGAAAATGGCATTGCTCATGATTTTTCCTGTCCTAGAACTCCACAACAAAATGGGGTTGTAGAGAGGAAAAACAGAACTCTGCAAGAAATGGCCAGAACCATGATCAATGAGACAAATCTGACAAAACACTTTTGGGCAGAAGCAATCAACATAGCCTGTTACATTCAGAACAGAGTGTCTGTAAGACCTCTTCTGGAGAAGACTCCATATGAACTGTGGAAGAACAGAAAGCCCAACATTTCATATTTTCATCCTTTTGAATGTATTTGCTATATGTTAAATACTAAGGAAAATCTGAACAAGTTTGATTCCAAAGCACAGAAGTGTTTCATGCTTGGATATTCTGAACGCTCTAAAGGCTACAGAGTATACAACACTGAGACACAGATTGTGGAAGAATCCATTCATGTCAGATTTGATGATAAGCTTGGCAATAAAAAGCCAAAGTAGTCTGAAAACTCTGCAGATAGAGAAGTAGTCTTCACTGACTCTGAAGTTCCAGAAGCAGACAAAGCTCAAGTGAAGGAACCAGAAGCAACGCCAAATGCTATTCCTTTAACTTCTCAGATGAACAATCTAAACATTTCTGAAGAATCAACTGTTAGAGGATCATCATCTAGAATTAAAGCTTCTCATCCAGAGAATGTCATTATTGGAAAGAAGGATGATCCCATCAGAACAAGATCCTTTCTAAGATCATCTGAAGCATCACTATTTGGACTGGTGTCAGAAATTGAACCATCTTCTGTAGATGAAGCTCTGCAAGACAATGATTGGATTATTGCCATGCAAGAAGAGCTAAATCAATTCACCAGAAATGATGTATGGGATCTAGTTCAAAGACCACAAGGATTCAATATAATTGGTACAAAATGGGTTTTTAGAAATAAGCTAAATGAGAAAGGAGAAGTTGAAAGAAATAAGGCAAGGCTTGTAGCTCAAGGGTACAGTCAACAAGAAGATATTGATTACACTAAAACTTATGCTCCAGTGGCAAGGTTAGAATCTATACGCCTTCTTATTTCATTTGCTGCACAAAATAACATCACTCTGTATCAGATGGATGTTAAAAGTGCACTTCTTAATGGTATTATATAAGAAGAAGTTTATGTCCACCAACCCCCTGATTTTGAAAATGAAAATTTTCCAGATCATGTTTTCAAATTAAAGTGTGAATGTGTATGCCAATGATGCGAATGCACATGCTTATGCAAAAGGTAAGAATGAGGTCAAATTTCAGGTTACGACACACATAACAAGAGACTTACGTGGTTCTAGCATCTTGGCTCGAGAATTCCTTTCTTGTATCCCAATGTTATTTTATGTATTTCATCATTTTATCGAAATACTTTTTAGATGTTAAATTTTTAAAAAATTACTTAATTTTAAAGCTATTTCAAATAGCTTTTTATAAAACTCATTTTTGAGATATAACTTTTTGAAAAGATTATAAATTTGACTATGTTTTAATCTTCAATAATGTATTTTTATGTTATAGTATGTCAAAATTTGTCTTTTAATTTATAAAAAATAAATTTAAAAAAACTTATAATATTTTAAAAATTATTTTTGTAGAATATTTTTTCAAAAATAAAAAAAAAATTATCTTAAAGATAAAACAAACTAGCCTTAAGCATTTTAAGTACGAGTATTCTCTTATACTCTAATAGCTAAAGGGGAAGGCAATCACCTTTCCTTTTCTCACCGGTTCACCAATCACCATCAACTTAAATTTTCTTCAATCAACTTCTATTTAAATATTAGTCAATGATGTGGGGGAAAACAGTGTTGTGATCTTGAAGTTTGATAGAGTACTATGTAAAACATAGGCATTATGAATTTATGATTCGATTTTTACTGTGATTTTCAAAATACAACAGTGCTTGCAAACATTATTGCAATTGGATTATGCAATCATATCATAAGGTGAAGCAATCCACATTTAGAACTATGAAAACTGTATCGAATTTTCTTAATAAATAACAGAGTGCTCACTGTAACAATATTTACATAACATACACATAAGATTACGAATTAAAGTACACTATATTACAAAGTATTACAGCACAACACACAAACACAAACATATATTTCATTTTCTACAATCAAGCATCTGACCATGTAATGTCAAGGCCACCCCATTGATCTTTAGGAACACCTAAAGCTTCCCACACTGCCTTGGAAGCATCCACAATGTTGTTTGGACATGGAGGTTGGTAGTCATGTTCTTCATCACATCCCATTGTGGAGTCACACTCATCAACCACCATGGCTACCACACTTTTTCCATTAGCACTTATAGTAATCTTGTTCAAACACCTGCTCTTGTCATTGAACCACCCGGTGGAAAGTGCAACAACAGGAGTGTCATCAGAATGGTACTGATTATCACATGCTGAAGGTCCACCTCCATCTCCACCTTTCTCAAAGCTATTTAGTGTGAGATAAGCCTTAGTATGAGTAGACACTGATGGTGAACACTCATAAGTTGTGTACATTTTTCCTCGGACACAACAATCAGAGTCATTCTCTTTGTTGCATTGTCCTGACGGAGCTTTCTTTCCCCTGATTCTACCATTTGGACGACACTTTTGTGCTTGAGAAAATACACAACTTGTTAAAATAAGAGTAAACAATAAAAGAAAAGAAACTTTGGGGCAAAAGCTTTTCATTTTGTTTATACAACTCTTAGTTGTTCTTGTTAGTGTTTGCTGCTAAGATGGAGGTTTTAGTAGGGTATATATAGGAAACTTAGTGTTTGTAAAGTAAATAGTAATGAAGAAGCAGAGGGTGGAGGTTAGTTTTTGGGTCAAGGCAATGAGTTCTATCCTGCCGTGTGAGGCTCAAATGACAACTACCATTGTATAGGATTGCTTTTGAGGTCAATGAACCACTTCTATACTGTCTTGGCCATTTTCAAAGAAACAAAAAATAGAATCATTTTAAGAAACCAATTTGAGCAACATCCTAGTTATTTAAAGCACTCAAAAGAACAATACAAACTACAAAACAAGGTACACACAGACAATGGAGAGCTTCTTCTCAAATACATTCATTCTTCTCTTACTCTTTTTCTTCTTCACAAATTCTCTATGCATTGAAGCTAAAAAATGTCACCCTAATGGTATAGTAAAAGGTAAAAGCCCTTCAGGGCATTGCAATCAGGAGAATGACTTATGTTGTGTACCGGGTAAGAAATATCACACATACAAATGTTCCCCGCTGGTGTCTAGTCACACAAAGGCATATCTCACTCTTAACAGTTTTGAAAAAGGCGGAGATGGTAAAGGCCCTTCGACATGTGACGACAACTATCACTCCGATGAAACGCCTGTGGTGGCACTTTCCACAGGATGGTTCAACACTAAGAGAAGGTGCCTTCATAATATCACCATAAATGGGAATGGTCAAAGTGTGGTTGCAATGGTAGTTGATGAGTGTGACTCATCAAAGGGGTGTGATGCAAAACGTGAGTATCAACCACCATGTGCCAATAATATTGTTGATGCATCAATGGCTGTGTGGAAAGGCTTAGGTGTCCCTAGGAACCAATGGGGTGGGTTGGATATTACATGGTCAGATGTTTGATGGTTCAGTATGTGTTCTGTGAGGTCATCTGTAATTTTTTTTACTGCTATGCTTCATATTTTACCTTTGCAATGTTATCCTAAATGTACCTCATACAGTTTATAACTGTTTTTTAAGGTGATTTGAACTCCGTCACTTGAAATTACTAATTGATGTTATTCATAGAAAATATTAAACATTACTCCATCGTGCTGCGTTTATTACTACATCAGTATAGGATCCCTTTTGAGGTCAAACCACAAATTCTACACTGCCTACCTGTTGTTTAGCCAATTACATTACAACTCTTGATTCTGGTAATTTGTTCTTTTCAATGATTTTAAACTAATGATCAAAGATGATTATATATTAAAATGCATACTGTGATTTGAATAATATTTTGTAGGTTTCTCTTGTACAAGATTTTACCAAGATGATTTGAAGAGCTACTGGTTTTGTCTCTTTATTTATTGTGACAATCAAATGTTGTTTTTCTCATGTCGAAACACTGGTCACCGGTTTGCGGTCAGATAGTGGAGTATTTTTCACTGTCGCAACGCATTCCTTTGGGATCACAAACCTGCCAATGCGTCGGTTACTTCAGCACTCGCATTTGACACATCCACTGACTACAATTGGTGCAAAAATGCCTCAGCCAGTTTGCATGACAGCCAGCACCAACCCCTGCCCAATCAACCTTAGCAAAAACCAGTGGGAAGATACTTCAAGTGCAAACCGTGCCATGTTTTTAAATCATTCCAACTTTGGTGTTGGAATCTGTTTCAAGGATCAATACAGGCTCACTAGTTTTGATGTGGATGTGGATATACTGATGATTTGGTGGAACCTGTTAATTTAGCTGTAGAGACAATTTAGGTGCTAAAACCAAATGGTGGTTATGTGTTTTGGATGGATATTGTCCCAAATAAGCCTTGACATAGCCGTTTCTTAAGTTTACAAATATCACAACCAGAGGTAGAATTTTGTATTCTATTTCTACACCGTTAGAGTTATGTTTACTTGTGATAATTACTGTATCAGCATCAAAGTTGTTCCACTTCACTCTATCTTGCACACTGTAATCAAACAAATTCACTCTATCTTGCTCACCTATCAAGTAGGTTTATTCCTAATAGGTCTGACTAATGGACTGAAGGTCAAAATATAAATTACTCCTAACAATAGTAAAAATAACTACCCTTAGTCAAACTTGGTACGGTGATATGAATGATGTTTATTTCTCCTTATATCTTGCTTATATATAAACAATTACTTTTATGCTATTCCTTTTTCATTTACTACATTTTACTATTTTTGTTCTTGTTTTGCAATCCTTGTACTTTATTCAAATTGATTTTCGAACATTACATAGGACTTTAGACTCATAGGCTTATCAACTTAAAACTCAATAGTATGTTGTTATGTAAGTAAGAAGAAGAGTAGAGTAGTTAAATTTGTTATTGAGTTAGTTAGCTTTTGTAACTAACTTGATCAATGTGTAACAGTTGTATATAAGGAAGGGATGAGTCTCAATCACTCTCTAAGAATGCAATACTACAATGCATGCATATCATGCTTCATTCTCTTCTTCTCTCCCTCTTCATGAGTGCTTTCATCAATGGTGTTGCATGTTGTCCATGCACAACACAATAGTTGATTCACAATAGTTAAAAATGATTTTTTATTTATTTTTACAATCAACATTGCTTTGTTTGAATTTTACAAAAGGGTACCAACTAAAGAGTTACATTGTGGTTTTTTTTATTGTTGTGAATTGCAAAACACAGGCCTTAAGATACGAATTTTCTTGTGATTTTCAAAATACAACAATGCTATGCAATTTGCAAACATCATTACAATTGAAATATTGCAGTCATATCATAAGGTGACGCAGTTCACATTAAAAACCATGGAAACTATATCAAATTTTCTTAATAGATAACAGAGTGCTCAGTGTAAATATTTACATGACATACACATAAGATGAATACCATATTACATAAGTATTACAACACAACACAGAACAACTAACAAACATACATTTTATCTTCTACAGTCAAGCATCTGACCAAGTAATGTCAAGGCCACCCCATTGATTTTTAGGCACACCTAAAGCTTCCCACACTGCCTTGGAAGCATCCACAATGTTGTTTGGACATGGAGGCTGGTAATCATGTTCTTCATCACACCCCATTGTAGAGTCACACTCATCAACCACCATGGCCACCACACTTTTTCCATTAGCACTTATAGTAATCTTGTTCAAACACCTGCTCTTGTCGTTGAACCATCCGGTGGAAAGTGCAACAACAGGAGTGTCATCAGAATGGTACTGATTATCACACGCCGAAGGTCCGCCTCCATCACCACCTTTCTCAAAACTATTAAGTGTGAGATAAGCCTTAGTATGAGTAGACACGGATGGTGAACACTCATAAGTCGTGTACATTTTACCTCGGACACAACAATCAGAGTCATTCTCTTTGTTGCATTGTCCTGATGGAGCTTTCTTTCCCCTAATTCTACCGTTTGGACGACATTTTTGAGCTTGAGAAGATATGCAACTTGTTAAAAGAAGAGTAAACAATAAAAGAAAAGAAAAATTGGGGCAAAAGCTATTCATTTTATCTATGCAAGTCGATGTTTCTCCTCTAAGTGTTTGATGCTAAGATGGAGGTTTAAGTAAGGTATATATAGGAAACTTAGTGTTTGTCAAGTAAAATATAATCAGCAAGCAGGGTGCGGAAGTTAGTTTTTGGGTCAAAGCAATGAATTCTTCCCTGCCGTGTTTTGCCCAAATGACAAATACCACAATTCAGGTTGCTTTTGAGGTCAAATCATTTTTTTTATAAGCAAATTTATTTCATGCCGTTGGGTTTCCAGTGATAAGATATACTAGTAAAAGAAACAAAAAGCAGAATAATTTTACATATAATATGGTATACTGTAGTAATTTGCAAACCGTTTTTTCCTTCCAATTACCCAAATATATACTATTTTTTATAATCAATGATACTCACTTCTTATAATATATGATCTGATGCTTTATCTTGCAATAAATGCATTTTCTAGTTGTATTTGTTTATGTTCTGTGAGGTTTTTTAACCTTTTGTTGTTATTGCTATACTTTTTACCTTCACAATTTTATTCCAAATGTATCATATGGTTTATCTTATCGAATGTAAACTTCAAGGAACATAGTAACATATGTTATCATTGAGTAAATAGTGTCCATAAATATCAAAGTAATATAAAAATTTATCGAACCCACATATATCAATGTCAATCTACCGTTATCTATTGTTACGATGTAACACTAAGGCTAATAATTACTTGATTTAAATGTAATTAAAATGAAAACTAAAATAAAACTTAGAAAATTTAACAATAAGGAGAGACCGGAATATGGATTCCGTATTCTTAAGAAATTCTGTAGATTTTAGGCACTAATTATAATTAAACTACGTTCGGTAGACAATTTAAAGACTCCGTCTCACACTCTTGCGCTATTGACTAAAGCCACACTTCCCTAACCATGAAATTTTATCCTTGCTCGCCCATTTTAATTAGAAATCGTATTTTGAAAATCAATTAAATCCTAATCAATACCTAAAGCGCTCTCGCTGATTTTAGGACCGATGCCTAGTTTTCACTATTTAGTACAATATTCACACTCTCGCGCTATCGGCTCGAACCTTAGTTTGCTTTTCACTCTCGTGACAAAACATAAAGACATACAATTGGAAACTAAAACCAAAACATAATTTATTATAGTTTCGCGCCTATTATTTTCTACCGAGTCCCGTCGGTAACGACGATCCTCATACGCCGAACTCAAAGAAGTTTAGCCAGACATGATTGCGGAAACAAATAAACAATTTTGGATATTTGAATTAACTAAAGACATAATGAGTGATTTAAAATATTTTAAAGCGATGTTTGCAGAAATAGATAGAAGCTTGAAACAGTAACATTGTGAGAAAAATAAAGCATAAAAGTAAATTGCAGAAATTAAAGGCAAGAAAATAAATGCGATGAATGTAAATGAACCTGAAATAAAAACTGAAATTAAATTGAAGGCAAGATTGATCAAAGAATTACATATATTGTAGGCTTAAACACTAATGGTGTGGTAGTTACTCGATGTGAGAAAACTACCACTTTTACAATGATTTCTACCTAAAACTACGAACAGCGCTTCTGCGTATAAAACATGGATACCAGAATTTGAGAATCTAAGATCTATTTATAGGAGGAACTTCCTTTAATAACTTCCATAGAGCATGTATGAGTCATAGAGGAAGTGAGAGTAACCTCCAAAGTAGTTATGTAGTGGGTGGTTACTTTCACATTTCTAAACTGAAATGCGACCGCCATTAGCTTTAATTTGCTGATTACGTGGATTGGGTAAATGGCGAATGCCATGTACCTGGAAATGGTGTATTCTGCGATTTTTCTTCATTTCTTCGCTCTTTTCTCAGTTTTCTTGCACAAACGCTCTTACTCGACAAATACCTGAAACACAAACATAACACGACATAATAATACGAAAAACAAGTAAAACAAATTAAATTGCATGCGAATCGAGTCAAAATAAACGATATATTTTCACGTTATCAACACCCCACATTTAAACCATTTCTTTTCCTCAAGCAATCAATCAATACGATAAAAAAGAAAATAAGCACAATTCGAAACAACGACACAACGAGACTTTAATCATACGTGTCTGCTAGGCTAATGTTAGATCGATAGGTACTAAATATCAATACCAAGAATACCGTAATGACACAATTTCAAAAATTCCCTCCTTATGCAAACCAATCTGAATCATGCTATTATAACTCAACCTATATATCTCTTGCTCTCTTTCACCCCATTTAATTCTAGTGCAATCACATTAAATCCATTATCCATACACATTCATGGTAAGTAAACCTGTTAGTGACTATGATCTCATTATTATTTTATTTTTTTCAGCAAATATTTTTAAGTATCAATTGAACTTAAAAAGTTTGTAC